TCAGGCCCTACTAGCTGGATGGGTTCTAAGAATAGCAAGAAAATTACTATGTTGAAGAGAAAGATAGCAAGGGTAAGGAAATGTATGCAGGCTGCATTAGAAGGGAACAGTGTTTAGAGGGAGCAATTAGAACTAGTGCGGCTAAATCCTAATTTCTCTGTCAGACAAAATAGGAACTTCCTCTTGGCACTCAGAGAAGTGTGCAGCTTGCTAATTAAGCCTGCAGATATACCAAGTGGAGAGGTGTTGCCAGTAGTAGCTTTTATGGGAAAGTAGCAAGGGACTTCTGTAAATATTATCTGGAAGCATCCCTAGCAGTAGTACAATTGTTTTCTTCATTATTGGCTGCAATTTTTAGATTGTGAGAGTTACCTAAATTATATAGCAGGATTCTTTTTGGTCCAAAAATGATGCAGCAGCAACAACAACAACAACAACAAAATAGTATCAACTCATTTCCCCTACTACTGGCACTGCAGGGAGCTGAGGCACTATCAGACCACCAAGCCAAGAGGAATCATCACTGTTTTATAGTCACTTTTGGTCAGGCTGACAAGGGTTAACACAAATAAATCAGTCTGCTACACCTGAGGGCCAGGAACCTGCAAATCATGTTTTCGGGGAGGATGACAACAGTGAGAAAAGAAAGAGTCAGTCACCTTTGCCTCTTGCCTTTTGGCAAATGACATGAAATCTTCTCAAGATAACTAAAGGCTAAATTTTGCCAAATGCAGTGGGGAAGACAGTAAAACAGAGAGGAGCTGGCTAGACAGCAATAGTGTAGAAGGGCTTGGAGCATTCTGGCTACGGTGAGATCTCACCTGATCAGCCAGCCCAGCTTGTTCTGGGAAGCTCTGTACCAGAGAGAGATCAGGGGATACAATGGACACAGCAGTGCGAACAGCAAACAATGATGAAGGCAGGGCTGGAGAGCTTGAGAGACAAAGAGGAATTAGCAAACAGAGAAATGAAAACAAAAGAGGACATAGTCACCAATATAACTGGTTTCAGAGAGACAGAACATCAAGAAGACCGTACTCCGGATGAGGAAGGTAAAATCAGGGATTTCTGTTTATAAAAATATAGTAGATAGATCATCTACCAGGCAGCACAGCTGCCCATAGCGTCCCTACAGAGAACACACAGGACCATGTTAATTCTGTATTATAGGTATGTACCCTAAGGAAGGGATCATCTGAAAATGAAGAGCAGCTCCAAGACTAGCACTGGGAGAACTGCTCTGCCAACCCATGGTGTACCACAGGGAACAGTATAAATCTCTGCACTGCCCTGTCCTTATGTGTAAAATGGGAACTGTAGTCCTGTCCTTGCTATCAGGTGTGCTGGGAGCAGCAAGTTACTGAGAAGACACATTCACAGAGGCCCTCTATATCCCAGAGAGAGGTTCGATCTGAGAAAGGGGAAGTACAAGAAAAAGCAGGGAGCATTCCTGAGAAGCCAGACCTGTGGAGTATCCGTGTAGCTCAGCTCCAGTCTACGCTCATGGAGAATGGACTAATGGGTGACTGTTTGGGCTGCTGTGTGCAAAACAAGATGGTCCTTTCCCACAAATGCTGTGATCCAAGGCATGAAGCTCCCTGGAGCTATTCCAGTTCTGTTAACGTAAGAGAGCTCTTTAGCCAGCTCAGAGTGCAGCTCCACCAAACCCCATGCCTTCTCCCATTCCCAGTTCTCACAGCATTTGTCACTCCAGAAGCCACCAAGGAATCACACAGTGCCTCACAGTGGCAGGACCAGCATCTGGCTCCTCACATGGCGAGGGTACCAGGAGGGTTTGGGGTCAAGAATACAGGATAAATCCTTACAAAACTGTCATGGGATGCCCTATGGACATCCTGAACAACATGTGATTGTAAAGACAGTGCCTCAGAGGCACTTTGGTGATAAGATGGGGCTTAGTAGAATGCAAAATAGCATTAATCTTGTTGAATCAAGATGCTTAAAACCAGCTCAGGCATTCTAGGGGACTTCAAGGGAGAAGGGTTGGCCCGATGTGGAAATCATGGCACATCTTGCCACCCTGAACTGAAACTGTGGAGCCCAGTTCATGTTGTCCCTCTCCCAGCAAAGTTTCTTTCACAGTGCCCCCCTGAAAAGCCACGCTGTTTCTTCAGTTGCTGTAGCCAACCTGTGACTCAGTCCTATATCCCTGGGTGAAGCTTATCACCAAGGCCTTTGCCTGTGAGAGATTTGGATGCCTGGAGAGGGAGAGACTCAGTTGAGCTGTGTAGGGAGGCACCCTGCTGCAGCTGGCATTTCTGCTCCAGGTGCAATGCTCCCAGCTCCATGCTGTTGGGAGGAAAGTACAGTAGACCCACGAACCCATCTGGCTGAGGCAGGCAGGAAGAGCACAAGGCTCCAGGTGGACCTCTTCAAGGCTTGTCTGCAGCTTGGCCAGGCTGTTCCTGCTAGCTGTTTGCCAGGGCATGAGTTTAGGCTGCTTCCAGCTCCCAGCTGAGCATTTGGAAGGAGCACACTGAAACCAAGTGCTTTGCCACAGTGCCAGCAGGTCTCAAATGTGACCAGCACTTTTTGTTTCAGTACGGCCCATCTCACAAGCAGGCAGGGGCTGGATACAGTTTCTGGACATCCCCACTGGGAACAATTTAGCCAAATCCCCCAAAGAGGCCACACAAAACCTCACAGAAAGCCCAGCCCCCAGCAGCTTGGGCCCTGAGCCCAGCTCCCTTTCACACAGTCAAGGGAGAAGTTTGGTTCCTGCACTGGGCAAGGTCTCAAAGAAAGGGGAGTTTTGCCTAGCTACCTCCTGCTTGGCTGTGCTTTCCATTGGAATTCCCTGCCTGGAGAGCCACTTAGGCATTTTTTTTTCTGCTGCTGCTGCTTTTTTTCCTTTTTGAAAGTTGTCAGATTAATCTATGCTTTTGGAAGAAAGATAAAAGACTGAGTTTCAGATTGAATTTTTGCCTTTTACCTTCAGCACAATTGTATTTTGCCTCTCTCCCCTCACAGAGGCATGGAATCCCTGCAGGGTATACGTCCTCCCTTGGAAAGAACAGTAATGGTTACTTTGAGGCAGTAGCCTCACTACAAATAATATCCTGTATTGTGCCTCCCTATCAACTCCTGAAGATGCTCTTACTAGCATCTTTTTTTGTGAATTTTGGGGATCATCACTATGCTCCATCATTTTTTTTTCTGTGCTTCATCCCAGATGTGGCTGCATTTTTACGTGTGGGCTTCCTCCCTAGTAGGAAGCCTTGCAGGCCACATTTATTGCAAGTTTTTAAAATTTTCCTTAGTCAACATCAGAACTGTTCTGATTGGGCCAGTAAAACCGTCCTCACTTTTCCCACCTCCCATGGTTAACAGAGGACCCTTGTGAGCCAGCAAGGATAGACAGAACATGAGGAAAGATCCCTCAATATCTCATCTAACGTCTGTGCATCAAATCTGCTCTTTAAGTAACCGGGTAGTTCCCTGATGAATCTTTCCCTGCTGTGACTTTACAGCAGACATGAGCAAGCCCTGCCACAGTTTGCTGTGGCTGAGCAGTTTCTTCTAGTGGAGGACCTCCATTTCCTTCTTTCTCTTCCTTGAGTCTCAGGACCTAGAGTCAAGAAAGACACAACAACTAGGTTGCAGATGCCAACAACAAGTAGAAGTATGTACTTACCCCACGCCAAGGTCTGGATCTTTGCATAAGGTACCAGTATCAGCCCAAATATGCCCCCCAAATGCAGCAGGCTCATGAGGATGATATTTCTCCAGACGTATTGCAGCGGGGGCTTGGGGCCCTCCTTCTCATGGTAGGTGTCATCAAAGGTATCATCCACTGAGCTCTGGTCTCCTGCCAAGTCCTCCTGATTGAGGACG